CATAGGACATAGAGCAAGAACTTGAAACCACTTTCTTACTCCAAGGTTAGCCCTGTAATAGGCCACATTACCTTTCTTTTCATTACCTATTTGGAAAGTGGAATGAAGTGGTTTTGAAGAGATCCTTGCATGAAATATACATGATACAGAAATCCCTACGTAAGACAAGTATGCTTTCCTTTTTACAAGCAAGGTCCCTCAAGCAAGGTGACATGAAACTCCAATTCCAGGGTTTCTTCCACTGAACCAATCCATCTCACAGCAATAATTCTGGAAGCCCTAAATCAAGTTATCTCTTTTTCCCTTGGCAATTTAGCACTTTTCTTTCAATTTCCACAAGTCATCCAACTTCTAAAGAAGAGTGTATGAAGATCAGTTTAAGGAAGTAACATGGTATCTTGGGGAACGTGTTGGACTAGGAATCAGAAGAGACTTGTATATGAGCCCCACTACTGACACATACTGATTATGGGTAAGAGATTCAATCCCTTTTAGCCTCAGTTTCCTCATGGGGATAATAATAGTACTTAACTCACAGAGCTATTGTAACAATCAAATGAGATAATGTATGTAAAGCATTTTGTAAAACTTGAAAAGACACATAAAAGCTATTATTGACTTGTCCATCCTTACCCAGGTCCTGGTTGACCTGGTTGTCTGGGGGCACTGAGAAGTTATGTCCTACCTATGGACATATTGCAAGTATATGTCAGAGATAGGGTTTGCACTGATGCTTCCTTACTCCAAGGTTAGCCCTCTGTCTAATAGACCAAATCACCTTTCATTACCTATTTGGAAAGTGAAATGAAGTGGATTTGAAGAGGTCCTTGCATGAAATATATATGATACAGAAATCCCTACATATTACAAACATGCTTTCCTTTTTACAAGCAAGGTCCCTCGAGCAAAGTGACATGATTATATGTCTGTTACTCTGTTATAGAGACACTTTCACAGGAAAGTGGAAATCCAAGTTCCTCATCAAACTAAAGTTCTGGCACAAACACATGCTAATTAAATCATACATGAAGGTATGTTTTAAAAATAATTTAATCCATAATTTCTCATTTTTACCCATTTTTGAAACTTTCTCCAATCCTTTCTACATGTACCAATATCACACAATGAATGACACCACCTACAAGGTACACTAACTGAAGCAACCAGGTAACCTGAGGGAGAGACAGGAACCATCACACCACACAAGTTAAATATCCACATCCATCACCCCAACCACCATCTCCCCTCATATCCCAATAGAGATAGCCAAGGACCCTGAACCCCAAAGCTGTAGGAGTTGCTGTGCCCTCAAGATTGGTCCTGCTTCAAGTCTTGACCCTCCAGAGTCATCATTGATGGGAGAAGTCACCGTGGAAAAAGAGGCCCACCTCTCTCTCCATCACCAACACTGACTGATGACCAGCTGCCACCATCAGTCAAGTAATTCCAAGACTACTAGTGGTAGTAGCACCCCCTAGACCAAGGGTGGGGAACCTGCAGCCTCAAGGCCACATGTGGCCTTCTAGGTTCTCAAGATTAGCCCTCTGACCGAATCCAAACTTCATCTGTGGCCTCGAGGCCGCAGGTTCCCCACCCCTGGTCTTGACCTTAGTCCTTGGTTCTGAAGCTGTGTTGGAGTTCAGAATAGAGCCTCAGTCTGGCTGTCTAGATCTGGAAGTCTTCTTCAGAGAGATGATCATTAAACTGATCAGGAGCTGATAAGATCCCCAAAGAGGATGTAAAGAGAGAAGAGAACCCAAGGTAGAGCCTTGGGAAACATCTGTAGTTAATGGACCTCAGGTTAAAAACTCCCATTCTAGATTCTTAACAATTCAGAGGCTCCCTTCTTACAGCCAACATGAGATGCCATGTGTCCCACCAGACTGAATACAATCCTGAGATACAAAATACTGGGAATGTTAGTCTTGGCCCTCTGACTGATTGGTTAGGTGACCTTGGCCATTTTCCAAATTCCCTTAGCCTGTACTTTCCCACTTGTAAAATGGAAATGATGCCATTCACCTCTGGTACTAGAATGTTGTGAGGCAGCTCTAAAAACAAAATTTGTAAAATGCTACATAATTTCTTGATATTATTCAGCACCTATATGCTCTACTGAAGCAGTGCCATTAAATTAGTCTACAACAGGTAATTGTTACCAACTGTGAAGGGAGGCATATAAAACATACTCTGTTGGTCTGTAGCTGTTAGAGAATACTATGGGTGTGTTTGCATTTCTTTCCTTAAGAGCCAACATCTCTGCCTAGCTAGTCAGTAGCTAAAAAGGAACGCCCAAGAGTGTTTGAGTCATGATTTACTTCTGGGCATATATCAACACTACTGGTCAGGGGCTTTCCATCTCTCTCTCCTTCAATCTCTTTGCCTCTCTCTGTGTCTGTCTCTGTCTCTGTCTGTCTCTGTCTCTCTGTCTCTGTCTCACTGTCTCTCTCTGTCTCTGTCTCTGTTTCTGTCTGTCTCTCTCTCTGGCTTTCTCTCTCAATCTTTATCTCTCTGTTTCTATCTGTCACTTTCTCTGGCTTTCTCTTAATTTCTGTCTCTGTCTCTCTGGCTTTCTCTCTCTCAGTCTCTCTGTATCTCTCTCTGTGTGTCTCTTTCTCTTCTCAGACACACACACACATACACACACACACTACATAGACCATACACATAAACAAAGTAGTTGTCATAATATACTTGCATATTCTGAAGACCACCATCTTCCATATTATGATATAAATACTAACTCTCAGGGAAGCTGTTGTACCAATTGTATAAAAAATGAGAGGCAGCCTGCTGTAGTGAATGGAGTCAGCAGTGCACCCAAGAGAACCTAGATTGAAGTTTTAGCTCTGGCACATAGTGGTTGTCACTTAATACCTCCTTTCACACCAGAGAGTTCCCTATGCCAGTGAAATCATAGTCTAACCCCTACACCTATATCACATCTATGTACACAAAATGGCACCTGGAAACTGGTCTAGCCAGTTGGATATGGCAAAAGTGATGTTACTTGAGCTCACTTCCACTGAAGTCTAGGAATGCTATTATTAAGAAGATTTATGAAAGCTGTTCTCCTAGCAGCAATAGGGGAGGACACACAGCGACCAAGAGTGAAATCCTTGAACTACCTGCACCTTTCCTCAAAGAAGTAGAAAAAAGGTCTTCTGAATTTTTCAGGCTCAATCCTGTAAATAACTATCTAATTCTGACTAAAGTATTTTATCCAGGCAAACACAAGGAACACATTCATGAGTATACACATGAGTTTGTATTCTCTCTCTTCATTTTTTTTAGCTAGAGACTGAGGCAACATGGAACAGCGGACTAAGCACTGGCTCTCAAGGCCAAAGACATGGGTTTGAATCCCCACTCTTTACTACCTGTGTGATCTACCAAAGGAGAGATACTTTGGGCCTGAATTTCCACATTTATAAAATGAGATGGTTGAATCAGAGCAGAGGTGTTTAAACTGGGGTCTAAAACACCCCCTCACCCGTAAGGGATCCATGGATAGATTTCAGGCTGTCCCTGAACTTCGATGGGGGAAAAAATTACATCTTTATTTTCACTCACCTCTAGCTGACACTTAGCATTTCCCTCAATTATAAATGTAGACAACCAGTGTGATTCTGAAAAGGAGACCACAGACTTCACCAGACAGCAAAAGGGGCCATGACACAAACAATATTAAGAATTCCTGAAGTAGATGATTTCTAAGGTTCCTTCTAGTTCTAAATCCTATGTCATCTTTTTAGGAGTCACTGAAAAGAGAACACAAATTTTCAGCATGGAATTAATTTGGATGAGAAGGTATAGGTTTGTTCACACAGTGTCCTTAAAGAAAAGTGTCATTAGAAAATTATGGTGAATTCTAACTTATCTGTGTTAATAGGGGAGAACATAATTTGGATTTAATTAAGCAAACATTTGTTAAGTGCTTGTATTACAAGACACTGGGCTAGATGGTTGGGATTGAAAGATAAAATTACACAGATTCTGCCTTCCAGGGTTTTGTAATAATGTAATGTATGAATTGGGCAGCTAGGTGACAAAGTGAATAGAGTGCTGGGCCTGGAGTTAGGAAGACTCATCTTCCTGAGTTCAGATCTGGCCTCAGACACTTACTAGCTATGTGACCGTGGACAATTCACTTAACCCTGTTGGCCTCAGTTTCTTCATCTGCAAAATGAGCCAGAGAAGGAAATGGCAAACCACTCCAGTATCTTTGCCAAAAACCCCAAAGGGGTCATGAAGAGTCACACACAACTAAAAAATGACTGAACGTAGTCATTAGTGACTTAATATCAGCTTAGAAAGAGATCTGTAGTGGAGCACTCCAGGCATCTGTGTTTGACCTGTCCTATTTAACATTCATATTGATAATTTGAACAACAACGAAAAATGAGTGAATTAAGACATGACATTACCTGTATGACCTTGAGCAAGTCACTTCACCTTGTTTGCTTCAGTTTCGTCATCTATAACATAGGGATAATAATAGCACTTACCTCCCAAGGTTGTTGTGAAAAGCAAAGGAGATAATAATTGTAAAACTCTTAGCACATTGCCTGGTACATAGTAAGCACTATATAAATATTATAATTATTATTATTAAACACACACATAGCATTTTATCCACTGTGCCACCAGCTGCCCTAGCAAGTAGCAATAAGTTTAGCTGCCAAGTGGAATATAGGAAGCAAAGTAAGTACTAGGAGATGAGACAAAAAGGAAAGGCTGAAGCCAGACTGTGATGGCCCTGAATGCCAGAATGTAGATTTTAAACTTTATTTGGTAGGCAACCGGGACCCATTGAAGGTTTTGTTCAGAGAAGTGATGATGTCAGAGCGGTACCTGAGAAAGATTATTCAGGAAGTCATATATTTTTAAAAATAGAGTTTTATTAATATCTCATATATATATCCCCCACATTTTCTCAATATATCCATCCCCTTTACTCTTAACAGAGAACCATAGCAAAAAAGTGAAAAAAGGGCAAGAAAAACATCAGCAAAACCAGCTACACATCAAAATGTGATACTCTGCGTTGTTTCACACCCACCTCCAACCTCTGCAAAGAAGCTAGGGATTAGATACTTCTTAGATCTCTTCTTTCAGACCAAGCTTAGTTTTAATGATTTTGAAGCATTTTGTTTTTAATGATTTGCTGGTATTTTTCCGTCTCCCTTGTCGTGGTCACCATGGGTTGCTTCACTCCGCATCAGTTCATACAATTCTTCCTATGTTTCTCTGTACTCATCATATTCATCATTTCTTACAACACAGTGATATTCTATCACTCTCCTGTATCATAATTTCTTTAGTTAGGTTGCCATGTAAAAGAGAAAAAAAAGACCATAAATTAGAGGACCAATTAGGAGGATATTACAATCGTCCAGGTGAACAGTGATAAGGGCCTGAATTGATGGTTGCAGTGAGAGTGAAAAGAAGTATTTTTCCTGGGACCCACAGTAACCTTTGAGGCACAGAGATACAGAGATTAAATTGTGAATGATATAGAGGTCCAGGAAATATGTGCACAAGGTAAATAAATGCAACAAGCTCTTGCATCATAGAGCTATGATTCAACTAAATTAGATTCAACAGATGCTGAGGACCTAACAGTGGGCCAGTGTAACAATGTACCGTGAAAGGCAGATTCCTAGGGTAGAAAAAAAAATATGACTCAGAATGAAAAAACCTGGGTTTGACTCCCAACTCTGGCACTCATAAACTCTGAGACTATTGCTGGAACTTAACTTCTACTTTCACTTTCTCTAGCTGTGAAATGGAGATAAAAAAATTCTTGTGCTAAACCATTGCCACCCAAGGTTTTTATAAAGAAAGTGTTCTGAAAGCTGTAGAAAACAGCGAGCTATTATGTGCCAGGTACTGTATAAGATGAGAATGTCCCTGTCCTCGTGGAGCTCTCAGTCTGGTAGGAGAAAATACAACACATGCACAAAAAACTTCAATGTCAAATGGAACATGATAAGCAGATTGGAGATGCAGAGTGGAACCTCCTCAAGGTGGGGAGGGGGTGGGGTGGAGAGGGGAGGGAAAATTCCTGCTTTTTCTTTATATTCTCAGAACCTAGCCCAGTGTCTGACACTTTCTTTTTGAACTGTACTTGTGATTTCAATGGCCTGGCGAACTCCAAGTGAGGTAACTCCCTCTATCAACATAAATCAGCGTCCAGTCTGCAGCTAATGGTTATTATTGTAATTATGTAGCAAAGAGAGAGGCAGAGAAACAGAGAGAGAAGAGACAGACAGACAGAGAGGAGATGGGGAGAGAGAGAGAAAAAGTTGTTGACCATTGGTCCACTTTCTCACTAGTAATACATCAGAAACTGATCTCTCTCTCTCTGTGACTTTGCTACATTTATAACTAAAATACGTGTATATTTTTCTCCCCAGAATTCCTTCTCTCATCCATCTTTGTGGCATGAACATGTCCCTGGGTAATCAAAGGCTATGACAATGGGGGAAGTCTCTGGCACATTCCTTTAAGCAAGAAGTAGTTCAAGCCTAGGCCTGGCGGCAGACTATATGTATGTTCTATCTGAGGACCAGCCTAGGCTAAGTATGGCAGGAGGCTTATCACCATAAATCTGACCACTGGGTGATAAATAGTTAAGGCCACTGAAACTCATTGAGCAATAAAAAATACAAAATAAATGCCAGCAGTAGAAAAGGAGGGCAAAGTACATTTTCTGGATCACCTACCGAAATGGATTATTGAATGTTGATATATTAACATGGCATATTTGTCCAATAGCCAGTCTAGTAGTGACTTGACAACATAGTAAAGGAAAAATCTTATTGACATCAAAGTTCTTGTTATTGAAGAAACCAGAAGACAGAAATACATTCCAGCTAAATGATAAGGACAATCTATGACCTCTACTCAGGAAGGTAAATTAAGGAACTGGTTTCATCATGTACTCAGAAGAAACAAGAAAAAGAATTTAATGAGACACCTGGCTTGCAATCTTATATTGAATGTAAGAAAATAGACCACAAGAGAGTTAATTGCAACAAAAAATAAAGCAGCTTTATGAAGAACTTGACAAGTTCATCCTCTAACTTGATAACACATACTTTGATACCTGGTGACTTCAATACAAATAGAGGGTGGCATCCACACTGGAAAATGTGGCTCCAAATCCAGAAACAAAAGAGGAAAAGGGGAATTAGAATAAATACAATGCTTACTACATTACAATCTTGCGAAGTGCTTTACAGATATTATTTCAATGGATCCTCACAACAACCCTGCAAGATAGGAGACCAAAGTCTTGTAGATTGCTGCAAAGGTTCACAGGTTTTTTTCACCAATACTTTCTCCAGGAAGAGAGTTAAAATTTGTTGGACATGGAGCACACTGAATGACATCCTAACAATGAAATTGATTATCTCTTAATAGACAAATGGTTATAGGTTTATTAGTCATTTCTGAATTGGCTCTGGGTGTAGTCAGATCATTGATTGGTTAGAGCAAAGGTCAAAGCATGTGCCCAATTAGAAGAAAGGATAATTATGAGAAGATACTGTGCACAGTTACAGAAGCTCCAACAGAAATAAAGATGTTGACTCTGACCATCACCATTTTTTTGAGTTTACTTAATGTAAAATAGTCACCACAAGAAGGAGGCCAAAAGAATCCAGAAATTGCCTCAGCTAGCAATCTGATACAGACTACTAAAAAAGACTCATTATCTATACATCATTAATATTTTTTTCAAATATTTCGTGCTGGATAGAGAGGTATGGCAGCCAAGAGCATCAATTGCTCATCTGCAAAACATAGATGTGATGGTGGGGGCAACTGAGTAATCAAATCACCCTCAACCCACCTAAAAAGGTAAATAATAAGATGGTATTCCCTGTCACATATTTTCAGGTGAAAACACCTTGATTGTTCACTATGAATGAACAAGACCATGACACCTCTCTGGATTAAATAGGAAGTCTGTTTGGGTTGGC